TAGCAACGAGAAAATAAAGCAGGAAAGGCCTTTTAAAAGTGTTTTAATTACTAACAGAGGCTAAGCCCCATTATGAAAATTCAATAATATTAAAGGTTTTAGGGAATTAAGTCACTTCTACAAATGCATATATTCTCCTGAAGTATTTAGGATGTATTAAAAATTGCATTCATGGAGAGAAGGGAAGAAGAATAAAATCTCCTGTCATGGCTTTCTACAAGTTTTTTGTTGATTTGGTTTGAAAACACGGGACTGAGGAATTACCCTATGCTTATGTCCATGATGCAGAAATAGGCAGAACCGTTGCTCTATTATCACTGCATCCTTCATGGGTTACAGGATGCACATGATACATGTCTAGTAAATTAATAATCTCTCCCCTTTCTTCAGAAAGAGTGAAAGATGGGATAGAGGGTGAAAAAGTGACATATAAAGGTTAATAGGATAAAGAAAACCAGGCTTAACTTTACCTTTGTCCTTTGTATTTTAAATTTGTGTTTCTCTTATGTCAGACCACCAGCAAACAAGAAACATCCAGGATTCCTCACTCAACATCCTTCTGCACTTAAAGTGAGACCCAAATAACATTTAAGGCATTTGACCTAAAGGCAAAATTATGGTCACTAAAGTAGGCCTTTTACTATTACGGCCATGTCACCACATATCTCACAGAGCACAAAACAAAACAATTCTGAATTATTTATAATGAATACAAGAGCTATAACAAAGAACCAAACCTTTTTAGCTCTACACGGGGACAAATTATGAGAAAGTAAGGAAAACACCAATGTCTTAGGCACTATTAGTAGCAGACAATCCATTACCAGAAATTTCTGCATGATACTAAGTAAGCTAACATGCTTCCTGATGCTGAGGAAGGCAAAAAACAAACAAGCAAACAAAGATCCCCCCGCCTCCAAAACACAAAAGTACTATCATGTGCCTTATCCAAAGAGAACATGTCTCTCTGTCAATCAGATCTGGTGGGAACATACTGGGAACAGCTACCTAGGTTCTCTTCCTCAGTCCCCAGACTTACAGCACATACGTGACCACTAAGATGTTAAAGTTTTAAAACTGAAAGCAGATGAAAATATATCCTTATAACTGAACATATGAAATGACTTCTAACATGTAATGTTAATGGCATTGTTCATAATAAATATAGCTCATCTAAATATAGCATATGGTAATGATTTATCCAGATCATAAGTAAGGCTGCTGGGAATGAAAATGAGGACTCATGTTGTTATTAAAGTGCTATGGACAAGGTAGAGAGGTCAACATAAGAAAGAAAAATGTTAATAAGACAAGTTATATTAACTTGGTTTTAAACTGAGAATAATGATAAATTATAGAGAACAATATTTACTGCATTCTGGAATTTACATTACCATTTACTATGCATGTATATTAACAGGTATTGCATATCTGAGCCAACACTTTCAGAGCTGTTGCTTGATGCTTTTTAAAATCATTTGTCAGAACAATGTTATAGATGATAAAAGAGATTAATGTGCTCTATTCTATCCTTTCCAAATTTATGTCCCTTAAAAAAAATAAAAAGACACTTTAAAATCAGTTAAAAAAAATCTTCTGTTCTTACTATAACAGTAGATGATGTCCTACATTTTTTACCTAGATAAAGAATCAGCCTTTTGGGATCTGGCTTGAAATCATTATTCTTCTTAAGATAAAATGCAGATTTGAATTACATTTGCTTTACAATTGCAGTAAAAAATGCAGCAGCACATGTTAAACAAAAAAAAAAGAAAAGGGGGGGGGAAGTCTCTATTAACTCTTTTAATAAACAGATTGACAGAATCTATTCAGAAGTTGGAGCTTAAATATACATTTTCTACCCTGAAGCTGACAGGCTGTTGACAGATGTGTCTTTGCATTAGTTTCACTAATACAAACACTTCTGCCTAGGCTTTATGCACTGCTTAGCTGTATATGGTGTGTGACAGCTCATGTGCATGATCTTGCTTCATTTTAGCTGAGCAAGCATTTTACATCTCAAGGCAAAAGGAAGACAACTTTTCCCTTCCAATACATATAAAGAATGTGTGCTGAAGTTGGCTATGACTGCCATGTGGCTTGATTCTGTGATCCCCTGGCATAAAGTGACTTCTTTCTTAAACTAGTCAGGTACTCACAATTTCATCTTGCTGCAGAATGGATGAATTTCCCTCACTGCTTCTAAACTCCTTGAAGGTTTTCTGGTGCCTTAATGGAAACCGTGCTTTGCAAGCCGTGAAGGCTACAGTACCATGCTGAAGCAGCAGTGGGAGTGCTGGGGAGCCCACTGACCATTGCCATTGGTAGCTCAAGTAGCACAAAGCATGTAAAAAATGAAAATTAGGCATCTGTGCAATATCAGTTGTAGATGGGTGTCTTCCAATGTTGTGAATACAACGTATAGCTCACATTTTTCCCTTGACACAGCTACATTTAATTACTAGCATATATCACAGATCTGCACACACTTTGAGAACCACCAAAGGCAATCTAATGGAAAGGAAGACCTTTTGTTTGGATTAAGGGTAAGCTAAATTCACGATAGTGTTCATGGCAATGTGAACAAATACTAACATAATGTGAAATGCAATGCAAACATAACTCATTTGCAACAAACAAAGAAAGGAAGAAATAAAAGAAATATTTATAATCTTATTCACATTTTAAACAGTTTTTTTTTTCCTGAAATATTATAATAAATACAATTTACTAAGAAGGAAGCATATGTATTATGAAAATGCACTACCTGAAGTAAGGGCCAGGCATTATTTCATTGTCATATTCAAAAAGAGGCCAATTTGATTCCAGCCCCTTAACATTCACTGATTACATAAGGATCAACTCTTTTGTTAAAAAAAAAATCTGTGAAAGATGCATTCTATTTAAACTGTAAATACTTTGAGACAGGCACTATTTGCTGCTTGGTGGCTGTATACTTGTAAGACCAATGCAGTTGGTTACTGGTTTGGCTTAATGCAAAACTGAAGTAATAAATAATGACATATAAGCCGTATCATCATTAATGTATACTGCATTTTTTCAAATTCAAATATAAAAGCCCTTAAACAATCAGCTTTCTACAGACTGTATCAAACACATCGTCTTACAAAGTATAAAGTTCATATCAAATTTATATATCTTTGAAATAACTGAGCTGAATTACTTATCTTCAATTAAAGTTTCACTGTATTCCTAGTTTATAACATTATACCTACCCTCCAAAATCTAGTACAGCCCCGTACTTCCTGACCTGTAAGCAATCTTCTTCAGGATACTGTTCTAAGTGCTATACATCAAATCTAAGTGCTAATGCCACTGCATCCTAGCCCATGCAAATTCTACACTAGAGAATAATGTCCATGTGGAGTGCCAATGCCACAACTACAGTTTTCTTTTCTAACTACAAAGTACTGTTTGAAAAGCAGAAACAATATAGGAAGCATTTAGTATCTACAAGTAGGTATGAACCTGCCAAAATTGCTCACAGTTTGGGCTTTGGACAATACAACCCAATACAACAATCCTGCAGTTGAGAGTCACCATAAATTATCTAAGTGACGATTCCTTTTTTCTACCAAATCCTGTATGGGATAATCATTTATAGGTAACTGAACATAAAGGATAAACATTATTAAAGAAAGCTGAGACTGACAACTCTCACAGAACTCTCATAAACAAGCAACTGACCCTGCAGCAGTTGATGGAGGGGAATGGGCTTGGATAAAAAGAATGGCCAAGAATATGTCATTAAATCATAGAATCATAGAATCATTATGGTTGGAAAAGACCTTCAAGATCATCGAGTCCAACTGTAAAACTATCACCACCATGCCTGCTAAACTATGTCCCCAAGTGCCTTATCTACACATCTCTTGAACACTGAGACGGTGACTCCACCACTTCCCTGAGCAGGTTGTTCCAATGCTTGACTACTCTTTCTGTGTAGAAATTTTTCCTAACTTGAACCTCCCTTGGGCCAACTTGAGGGTATTTCCTTTTGTCCTATTGGTAGTTATTTTGGAGAAGAGAGACTTGACTCCCTCCTCAGCACAACCTCCTTTCAGGCAGTTGTAGAGAGTGATAAGGTCTCCCCTCAGCCTCCACTTGTCCAGACTAAATAACCCCAGCTCCCTCAGCCACTCGGCTGTCCTCATGAGGACCTTTTTTTTTTTTTTTTTTTTAAATACCAAAACTACTTTCTCTAACTCACAAGGTAAAGGATTAATTATCAAATCAGAAATCTTGCTTCTTAAGGAAAAGGAATACTGCAGAAATGACAAACTTAAGTTCTGATGATGGAAGCCTCTTATTATTGCCTCTTCTGACCCCTTAAGAAATAGTCCTCAGCACCTCCATAATGTCTTTATAATTCTCCTTATCCAAAACAAATAAAGAAAAGGATTTGTGATGTAAGACCTTCCAGTCTGGGAGGCATAAAAGATGTATACACTGGGACACAAGAATGCTGGATCACTAATAGCAGAAAAACAGGGACAAAAAGAACAACTGAACCAGGCAATTATAAACATAGGATTAGCTGCATCTCAGAAAGTACATTCAGTGATTTCACTACACTCTGTGCCACAAGAGCTGGGTATCATATTATTAGAAATAAAATACCTTTTCTAAATACATTTTTCTACATTATTTCTAAATAAAATACATTTTCTAAAGAATGGTAGTAACATTTCATTACCTATTAATTACCATCAAAATCTTTAAGTGGCTTCCAAATTCTTTTTTTTTTTCTTGAATCTCACTAAGCCTGTAATTTGAATTCTGTTTTCAGACAAAACAATGAAGCAAATGTCCATGGCATTAGATAGCAGACATTCCTTGGGACTTTTTAGCAAGAGGTGCAAAAAGGCTACATACATGGGTATTGCTAATGAGTGTGTCAGCCCTCATACTGTACAGAAAGTCAGCTGTGCAATTGTATATATATAAAAAAAAAAAAAAAGAAAGCAAATACTTCTTACCATGAAACCCTCAGTGTACTGAAACTGAGCTCTGGAACTGTCTTCTGCTGTGGGACTCAGGGGCTTAGGATCAGACAAAGAGCGTTGCATCATCTTTGCTGCCTTTGGGCTTGATGGAGGAACCTTGGTAATGTCAGCATGCAGCATCTTCTGAGGGCTGATGTCATCAGAGATGGGTTTTTCATAGGGTACAAATGCTGACTCTATAACTTTGCTTGGTGAAACAGGTGAAATGGGTGAATAGAGAACTTTGGGAGATTTGGGAGGGGAAGGGACTACCTGTAATGTGGAGTCTGGGCGAAGGTGGGATGAGTATCCTATTTCTAATGGTGTTGGGCGTTTTTTATCTTTCTGAGGAGATGAAGCTGACAGGTATTGGGGACTTTGTGTATCTGACTCTGTCTCTGTTTGACATCCTAAACTTTCTCCTTTATATGTCTTTTCTGGAGCTGATATGTGCTTTATGATTTCAACTTTTGCATCCAAGTGGGCCCTAATTGAAGGTGTTCTTATTGTCCCTACAGGTTCTGTTTGCACAGATATCTCTGCCACTGTCTGAACTGCAATACTAGACACTTTGGAGAATTGTTTAGTTTTGTCTACCTCAGTTGTACTCTCACTGTATTTTCCTACACGAGTTTTTCTTCTGGATCTGCTAGAAAGATCCCATTCATCTTGATCTTCATCATCTGTCTGAACACTTGTATCAACGCTTTTCTTAGTTCTTCGTCTCCTGTTTGTGTAACCTCTGTCTGCCCCATCTTCATCATCAGTTTGCACTCCACTGTCAACTATCTTTTTGAAGCACCTGGGTTCTTCTTCCAGAGTCTCTTCAAGCTCCTCATATTGACCACGTAATTTTGGCATAGAACTTCTCTTTTTCAGCTGCTTCTCCTCTCTAATATCAATATCCTTAAGAGACATTTCTGAAACAGAGCTAAGGATACCAGGCCTAGGTATATATTGGGTAATGCCATCAGACTGAACTGTATACCATGTTTGGCTTTGTGGAATTTCAATACCGAGTACTGCTGAAGCAGTAGTAATTGCATCATCAGTAGGCCAAAACTGGCCATTTTCTGTTGTTGCATACTGTCCTTCCAAAAGTGCTTGATCTGTGGTAGTTTGTGGAGAGCCAGTTCCTGAAGGATCATAGCCATACTGATATATTTGACGAATTTTTTGCTCCTCTAGCTGTTGGTGAAGCTGTTGTTGAAGCTGTTGGAATTGTTCAAGCTGCAGTTGCTGCTGAGCTAATGTTTCTTGTCTCATCATTAACTGAGCTTGACGTTCCTCCTCTTGCTGAAACAAGAGATGGTGTTTCATAGACTGCAATTCCTCAAGCTTTTTTTGCACCATAAGCTTCTCTTGTTCCCTAAACCTTTGAATTTCCTGACGTTCCCACTCCAGCTCTTCAGCAAAGCGCTGCTGCTTAATTTTTTCAAGCTCAAGAAGTTCACGCTCCAAATCAAGTTGCTGCTGTTTGCCTTCTTCAGGGGCAATGAGAAGTGCAACTTCATCTTCAATTACATTTGTATAAACTTCAGATGCTGTAGTTAATGCAGGTATCAAGTTGGTTGGCTCAGTGGTAATAGCTTCTATACTAAGAGGTGGCAGCCCTGTCTCAATATCAATGGCAGTAATCGTGCTGTCTTTTTCAGCTGCCACTGTTGTCAAGAAACTGTATGATCTTGGGAGTGGTTGACTCTGTTGCAAGGTTGATAATGAGGGCACTGAGTCAATTGTTTGAAGAGTAGATAAATCTCTGACAGTTGTACTGAAAATAGAGCCAGGTTGTGTAGTGATGGCAAATGTGGATGGAATTGGAGTCGCTACTGAAGAATAAACAACACCATTGGATGATCTTAAAACACTTCCAACACCGTATGGGGCACCCAAAGATGATACCATTCTTGCTTGTGAATATTGTGGTGTACTGATACCGATGCCAGAAATCACCTGTCGAGTCTCTGGATAAGGACCAGTAGTCTTGCTTGAGTAATCCATAACCTCACCTGAAATTACAGGGCAAAGTTACAGTCCAGTCCCACAAAAGAATGCTGCTTTGTGGATTCATCCCATCTTGATGAAATAAATGGGAAGGGGAAACTGCATGCAAATCTTCAGGTTAATGAAGATGTGAAGAAAACAGCATTTCTGAACATGCAGGTACATGCAGGCACCTCTGTGCAAAACACATAGGTAAAATGAAGAAATGAAATACATGTGTAATCCAGAATAATTTGTCACACTGTCCAACAGAAAACAAAGCAACAGAAGGAGGGGTAAAATCATAATAAAAAATCATCCTGAAATGAGGTGAGGAACATCATAATTATATTTCAAAGACAGATCTGCTGCTGTGTCATACTGACCTGTAGTAACTCTTCCAGAAGTAAGATCTACTGCTGCATCAGTTGCCCCAACTCGATAATCAAAGCTATTCTTGCTTTTGTATGCAAACAGTCCAGCTTCTGATAAATTTGTGTCGGACATGGATGGTTTCATACCTCCTATTCCTCGGTAACCATATGATCCCGAACGATCATACTGATAATGGTCATCTCTGTAACCAAAACGATCTTCAGGGAGCGTAGTTGGAGGTTGCTGTGCTGTACAGCTCCTTCCAAATGGCAATTTATAAACCATATCACAGCAAACAGCTCTTCTTCCTGCAGTCAGATCAACAGGCTTTTCATCATCTTCTATAACTGTAGTTATGACACCTGAAGTAGTTTCATTCATTGTTACTACTGTTCTGTGGGATTTTGTGGTGCTAAGGTCAACCACTCCACTCTCCATTGGCTCCTGAGAAGTGGAGAGATCAGTCCAACCATTTGTAACACCAACAGGAGGTACAGTAACAGGCTTTGTGGTAGCCCATGTCATTGCATGTGTTGAAGTATCTAAGGATAAATTTATTGGCACTTCATCTCTACTTGCAGAGAACGACTGGCTTCCTGTTACTCTGTATGCAGGCTCAAAATGCTTTGATGTTGTTAACTGCAGTGGAGTTGTCATAGCATGGCCCAAATCCACAAGGCTCTCTGTACTGGCAGAGTAGCTTACAGTGGCAGTGCAGGTCATTACTGTTACTGCTTCAGTGACTACAGAGAGAGAAGGATCTGCAACACATGCAGTACTAAGATTTATTATAGCTGGTTGGACGGTACTCACTGGCCGCCCACATGTATCACTTGCCGGCATTTGCCTTCTTGCATCTATTGAAACAGCAGAAAGATCCATACAGCTGTCTCTCATTTCGATATCCATCTTACTTAAAGTGCGAAGATCAATGACATCACTCAAAGGATGGAATCTTCCATTCTCTTTGTACCTGTGTTGATCTACTATATGTACTGGCTCAGAAGGTATAGTAATAGAGACACTACCTAAACCAACACTGGGCACCTGGCCCCTAACAGACACTGTGGTCTTGGCTACCTCTGTTGTTACGACTTCTGGTTTTGAACTAGGTGCTTTTTCAAAAGTTGATTGTGTTGTTACAGGAACAGCTTGAAAAGCACCTGAAATGTACATACTGTCATCTGTCATACTGTGAATTTCCATAGCTTTCATGGATGGAGTGAACAGTGGTTGCACAGGTTGGGGAATCTGTTCTTTAGAAGGTATTTCTACAGGCCAACTGGTAATAGCCTGACTAGTTATAGCTTCTGTGGGAGTGCCAGGCTCAGAAGGCAATGTGATGACAACATAGGTTTCCTGTGAGGGTTTTGCCAACCTTGGTGAAGATTTGTTAGAATGTGGAGACAAAGGGGAAGTGGGAGATGTTAATTTGCATTCAGCTGAAGAGACCAAATTGAGAGTCATACTTGAAGTCAATGACAAACCTGTTGGTTTGGGTGGTGTTTCTGCTGGCTTATGAACAGCTATTGGGAGTGGAGGAACTGCTGGTTTAGGAGCAATTGGAGGTTTAGTTATTTCAGTGGGCCTGTGACTGAAAACAAGTCCTGCTGGAATAGAGGATGGTTTGGGTGGTACAGGAGGTGGTGTTGGAGTGTATGCTTTTGTGATAGGTGCCACATGATTCTTTAAAACAGCTGTGGCCTCTACTGTTGTAACACTTGTGACAGAAGGTACCACTGTGGGAGCTGTTGTCACTGGAGTCTTAACCTGTGGCTTCTTTTTGGGATAAATAGCTGGCTTGGGTAAAATAGGTGGAGGCAATGGTGGGGGAGGAGGAGGTGGAGGTGGAGGAGGAGGTGGAGGTGGAGAAGGTTGTGCAGGAGAATCCAAAGAAGAGCTTCTGAAAAGCGAGAATACTTTGGATGTTACAGTAGGAGCTGAGGAAGGCACAGAGACCATGGTGGTCTTACTTACAACCCTGGGAGGAAGTACAGAAGATGTTGCTGATGCAGGCTCTGTAACTGCAACTGATGCTATACATACGGATGGTTGCTCAGGTGTAAAACCAGTTAAGTTAATCCTTGTCATATCATGACCCATTTTTTTGTGTGAATCTTCATGATGAATTTTGATAATGCCAGCTTCTACTGTACTTTTAATTTTTCTAGCTGCATCCTTTTCTGTTTTGGCAGTACCAAAGGCAGTGGAATCAGTTGCATATTGCTTGGGCTTTATGACTGTAGTTGCCACTACTGAAGGTTCAGTTTCAGGAAAAGAAATTACAGCTTGATCCATACTCTTTGTATCAGATGCTAGAGCTGGCTTTTTAGTGTCTCTGGCAACAGAAGTGTAAGGTGTGCTCACTTCAGAATACTCATCTGCAGATGTTAAAGGAACTTGTATGATCATTCTGACATCTTCAGAATCTCCTAGCTTACTTAGAGCATCTGTCGTATCTATATAACCTGTGGTTGCACTATCTATAGGTGATGAACTATCTGTCGTACAAACTGAAGATGTAGATGATGTCAAGGAAGCTGCATCAGAAGGTAAAACTGATGCAGCATTTTCTGATGCTTCAGAGTATGTCAGCATTGATGTTTCATGAGAAATTATTTCTTGAATTTCTCTGGCATAATCTGTTAAGTATTCATCTTCTATTTCCTCTGCTGTGAAATGCTGTGTTATTTTAACATCTGGAATAGAAAGTGCTGCACTACTGGCAGATGATATATCTGAGATGGCTGAAGTAGTGCTTGATGTTAGGGATGTACTATCCACTATTTCTCCACCAGTAGATACCTTTGTATCAGATGTAGGACTGAAACCTGAAGTTGGCTGAGTTGGACTGGACCCAGGGGTTAACTGCATTCTCTGTCGTTTCATAAGCTCTTCATAAGCAGCTTCCGCATCTAGCAACTGCTTTTCCTCAGTGGTTGCAGTTACCACACTGTCTAATACAACTATTTCATGACTTTCTGGGATTATATAAGAACTGGAAACGATATCTTCTTGAGGCACAATTGAATGCAAAGGCTCTATACTATAGTAGTCTTTCTGCAGATCAGTAATTTTTTGTGGTTCTTCATAAAGCTGATCTGAAGTTCTTATTTTTTTCTCTTTTCTCTGTTGTACAAATTCATTACTCTCGTCCTGTCTCATTACAAGATTAGTATCAATAGTTCCATTATAAGTATCCTCTACTAAAGATTCATAAATATAATCCTCTATTAACATTCCACCATATAAAGATTCTTTTTCAAATACTTCATCTTTTTCATTTGCCATTTGAAATGGCTTGGACTTGTGGGTCTTGTGCATCATCTCCTCATATACCTCTTCAGCACTTTTTAATGTCTTTTGACCACTTTCTTCTTTAGGGATTCCAATAGGTTGCTCATCTGTTGGAGAGTATAGAGAGACAGCAGTAGGCAATTTGTAAACTTTCTGCACTTCTATTATTTTTTCTGGACTGATTTCAAATCCTTCAGGATCTGACTCAATACTAGGTGAATACTCAGAACAGGAAGACCTGTGTAGTTCTTCCATTTCTGCTGCCTGCCGTAATTCTTCTGTGGGAGATGCATCTTCAATGGGAGAAAGGTTACTTGGAGGAGTCTTTGGACGCTCCCTTCTTCTCTGAGCTCTCAGTTCATCTTTGTCTTTTTTAGATTTTTTGCTAGAACTTTTTCTCTGTTGCTGCTCTAACTCACGTTGTTTCTCTTGTTCCTTTAGTAGCTCTTCCTCTTCCCGTAGCTCTTCTTCTTCTGAGGAATCTTCAATAGTTGGAAGAAGAGGACCATGTGATCGATGCCTGGCTTTGCGTTGTTGTTTGCTCTCCCCTCCCAGTTTTTTGTGACTTGGACTGCTGTCACTATCTTCATCAAGTGATGACACTGAAGTAGGAGATGTACCTGGTGTGAAACTAGAAGCATGCAAACTAGAAGACCCTTCCCCTCTAGATCTATCTTCTGGAGAATCTGTAAGACTCTCCATCTCTAGCTCTGGCTCTTCATCAAAATACAAAATACCCTTCTCTTGTTCAGATGCTTCCGAATATTTGTTGGTTATTGTACTATTTAATTCTATTGTTTTGAACCGTCGAAGGCCTCCTCCTCCAGTCATAGTAAGTTCTTCGTTGTCTTGACTCTTAGTTTCCCTGTATTTTGGTTCTGGACTTTCATCAAAAGTCTCATCATCATCATCATGCCATGAATGTCGTCTTCCTCCATCCTCGTCATAGCCTGCACTACTTTTCCGTGCCATTCTCCTATGTTTTCCAGCTGTTCCTTTGGCTTTGCTTTTCAGTTCCTCTTTCTTTTGGCTTTCAGTAACACTGATCTCTTTGAGCTGATTCCTAATAAATTCATCATCTTCAGAAGCTGAGGCATCTTCATCAGCACTCATCTCTATAATCTGTTTTCTAATGAAGTCTTCCTCATCACCTGATCCTTGACTGTCATCTTGCTTATATTCATCACTGCTTGAAGAACCAACACTAGTTCTTCTTTTTCTCCTTGGGACAGGTGAATTTTCACTCTCACTGCTGTCTTCCACAGAATCATAGCGTTGCCTTCTTGCCAATATATCATCTCCATCTTTTTCCTTGTAGTCTTTCCATGAGGAAGTACTTTCTTTGCCATCTTCTGCAATGGGTTCTTCAATTTGAATGTCTTCAACATCTTCCTCGTCTGAACTGTAAGATTCTGGAGTAACTGGCAAAGGCTTTGTTTTATGCTGATCTTTTGACTGTTCACCATATGTTTCATGAAGTTCTTTGTGTTTTGTAGATTTTTCCTTGGCAAGTGTACTTGCCTGAGCCTCCAAAATAGACAGGACGGTACTTTCCAACTTAGCTAGATCTGAGGGGCTTGGTGGACTTTCTTGTGAGATAGTGTCCTTTTTACTAGCTTCTCTGAGTAATTCCTTTTCATCAGTGGGAATATGACTTGGAATTTCACCAAGTGAACTTGATATCCCATCAGAAGAATACCCGGTGTCACTCAGACCTTGTGGACTTTTCTGTTGCTGAGAACTTGATGTCTCTGATTTCTCATCCTCCTTTTCCTAAAAAAATAAATACATATGTGTATGTATATATTTATATATGAACTCTTATTGTCTCCAGGCAATTAAATACGTTTTCTTTTTCTAAAAGATGAGCTAATGTCTAAGATGAAAAATTATGATGACAGGAAGAATTACAGTAAACCATAGATAACTGAACACTAATTTTGTTATGTAAAGGTACTAAAACAATACAAACCCATCCTCAAATTGTGAGATTTTGTATTTAATTGAATTATGCTTTGCATGAAAATTCACACTGGCTGCTGATTTTATCAGTTGTAGGATGATTTTTATATTTAATTATAAAGAATCTCATTATAATCTATCACTTGTTGATATATATACAAAACAAGTAGGTTAATTTAAATGAGGATTTTAATTACCTAAGTTACAAAACTGCCTACATAGTTCTGGATATAAAGAAATATGGATTGCCAAAAGTCAGCCAGCATGATTTCTGGGATCTGCTTCATTTTTTGTCTGTTGAACATTTTATATTTCTCTAGCAACACTTGAACCTCAAATTTTGGATATTTGGTTTAACATTGTAGCATGTGACAGAATATACATAATATTGAAGCATGAGTTAAGTGACCTGGAATGTCTCCATATTCATGATTTGGCACTGTGCAACTATTTTCTCAATATCTAGTATAGCAGGAGTCTCTCAGGATATATGTAACATACAGGTAAGCAGCTTTTAGGGAAGTGAAATTGCATGGGAAAAAGAAAGAGTCAGCCACTGATCAATGAAAATAAGCAAGCAAACAAGGCAGACATATTTAACTGAAGACATGAAGATATTTAATGTATGTTATCCTTCTGATCCTAGTTAAACACTTCTCGTCATTCTCCTAGCTCCTGGATCCTGAGGCACAATTCGCAGAGAACAGCACATCTAACTCCTTCTTTGGTTGATGAAACTACACCAAAATCCTACATCAAGTATAGCAGTTTCCTCTTTCTTGATAAAAAAAAAAAAAAAAATCCGTCCTGCCTCTCCTATTTCTCAGAAACTCTATTTCTCAGTGAAAACATCTTGCCAGCAACTCCACTCTAAAGGACAAGCATTGATCTTGGCTGACAGTCTTATGACATCCCCATCTTCCCAAATAATTGGAAAACGAATATGCTAAAGACTCTTGATTTTAATAACATGACATGATCTTCATATTTGTTATTTCTTTCAACAATACAGATAAGCAATATTTATCAATTTTGATCATTTCTGAAGGGCAGCCAACCACTTAAAACTTTATGAACTTCCTTTTATCAATCCACAATTTCTTTTATTATTATTATTGTGGAATAAATATATTAAGGAAATGGTAACAGCTTTCAAGTTTAACATAAAGGTATATTTACATTCATGTTCAATTGTCTATTACAAAAATTTGTAAATACTTATCATTCAAGAGTTCCTTTTAATATCAAAATATTATTAAAATTACTGACAGTTATTTTATTTTTTAATCAGTCTGGCTTTTTAATAATTTGATTAATATTTGCATTGCCTATTCTTGCCTATAAATATCACAGTGCCTATATTCCTACATTAAAACACTAGCACTATAATTGATATTAGTATTATACTACCAATCTCATCAATATTAAACAATCTCTGTTTAACAGAAATACTTGATTACATGCTTTGCAAAATCAGATACTATCTTGAATATAAAACTCATCTGTTCTTACCAGTACAGTAACCAGCATGATAGACTCAAAAAACTGTTATGGGAGCCAAAACTGTTTCATTCAAAAATCATATGTCACAATAAATACTTCAAAGGAAAATTCTAACGATAAGCCTGTGAATAATATATTAATAAGAAGAAACCTATAATACTACACATGACTGCTGCAAAGTCATCACCACTTCAGCACATCTTACACCAAAGACTTTATGCTAATATATTCCCCAGCCTTTACTGACAGTATCACGTATATTTTTCACACAAGCTGTAAACAAGGTTAACAATGAAGGAGACTTGGGAATGTAGTTTTACTTTTTGTACATCATATTTACACTGATTGTTCTCTTTATTAAATAAGGAAATATTTAAGGGGCATTTTATCAGCGAATGCTTTAAAAAAATACACATTCTATTAACCCTTCTGCCCTCAAATATTTGCTTAAAGAAATATTATGTCCATCACTAAAATAATCTAGGACATTTGATTGTTAATTTTTATTTTATTTTATTTCCATTATGTTGGACTCCCTGGAGTCTCCCTGGAGTTGATGGGAATACTCTGTCCTAGTGGAGAAATCTGTCAGATCTTGGTTCTACACAAAGAGATGTGATGATGGATTGACTTGCAAAACAGAGACAGAAGGTGTAAATTAAGTAGTTTTACTCAGAAATGGGTAGATGATAACTGGGCCTTTCAGCCCAGTTCAGCCTTTCTTCTCTTCAGCCTTTCTTCTTGAAGTCTCTGATGGCACCATTATTTATGATCCCACTGTATAGTATCCAATTAATGGCGGAACAAGAGCGTACACCACAATGTCACTGCTATGAGTAACAGGAACTTGAATTTTGGGAGACTGCTACATTGCATTGATCATATATAATTAACACCTCTTGAAAACTGAAAATTGTATTTGAAACAATAGGAAAAAAAACCTTTTTTTTCTGGTGAATGTAGGGTTTATTTTGGCATATGTTGACTTAAGTCTTTTGGAGTAGTCTAATGGCCTTTGGCTGTAAGTTTGCCTACTGTGAGTTTTTGATGCTTGATAGATTTAGCTCTAACAGAGATATAAATGGGAAAATCTTCCTGAGTCATGATGTGCTTGCATAGGTTGCTGGTCAGATAAGACTGCTTAAAAAGAGCAAATTTAACACCCCTAACTTGCACTAAAGGTAAAAATGAAATGAAAAATCTCGTATAGGACACATCTATACTATTTCAGTGACATGTCCAATTGACAATACCAGCGGCAATACATCATATAACTGTTGTACTAGAAGTTTTTTCCTGTTAAGTATAATTTATTCTTACATTTAATCAATTAAAAAACTAACAAACAAAATACTTATTTGCCAATATTTAGTAACCAAATTGCTTTAGAACATACAACTGGTTATCAGATTATACCAGAGCTCTACTGAAAGTAAACTTTCTTGTCTGTTTTCTAAATTATTTATAGTTATTAGGATCAAATTCTCCTGCCCCAAACAGAAATTTGAATTTGCAGAGGAACACACAATTTAAAAAATGTAATTCTGTTTGTAGAATAAATAAACATATCTACATTGTCCCTCAGTTTCAGAGGGTGTTAAAAAGTCCTTAGTTGACTAAACAGCTTAATTTGTATTTGCATTTTTTAATCCTATTATCAAAATATTTCCTTCATATTTGCACTTTCTGTCTGTGACCAGAAAAAAAAAGAGTTTATAGACAAGCCTCTTCCTCCTTATGGGAACTTCGGCTCACTGCTCTGTGTTTTGCTATTTATAGAAATAGAATAATGATGTTAATTTACATTATCTGATTTACTTCTACCCACTAACAGAAATAAAGCACACGATCACTCCTGAGCAAGCATGACGAGTTAGGAACAAAGGCACCTACACAATATAGCTCATGAGTTGTAAATGCATGTCCAACTTACACCATGGTAATGCGTTTATGCAGATATGCTGAACTACTTATATGTTAATTATTCATTTCCCAGGCACTCTCAAAGCCATATGTCATGCCTATCCAAAATTTCTAGGCATCCATCATTTCCTTGTCAGGAAAGCTAACTGCTATAGCACATGTGGGCAACCAACATTACAGGATGGCTTCTCAGAGAGCGCTCCTATAAATCATGAACAAAGGAAGTTCATTCCTTAAAATCTTTTTGAAGAAATTACCGATTAAAGTATTACTGAAAAAAAATAATACATGGAAGAAAAATGGATAGAAATGGGAAGAAAAGTGATATCTTAAATTATACCATAAGACCCAACTCTTTAAAAGTGTTTCAAAATTTAACTCTCAGTTATTTCTAAGAATGTCAAATTTATGAATACCACTGAAACCTTTCCAAAGCTCAAGAAAGGATCTGCTATTTTCACCAGCTTCCAGCTCTACCAGTCTGAGCTTCAGATTCTCTGTGTCTTCTGAGACTTGTTTGAGGGAATATCTTTTGGTGAAAAATCAGGCGCATTTGCACAAATTTGGATACAGAATGGCATCCACAGATTGTCATGTGCAGAAAGTATTAGGTTTTCTTCTGCATCCTTATTTAAAAACACATCTCACTGAAATCCTTCATGTGATTCTGCTCTATTTGATGTCTAGACTCTGTCTTTTATCCACAAATGGTATCAATGTGTGATATTCATAATTTTTTCTCTCCTTTTCCATTTCTGTCACATGCTTTCTAGGGAGAATGCACACAACAATGTTCAGTGTGCAGCACAGAGATCATTTAACAATTTCAATAAATAACAATAAAAGATCTGTCATTCTTATGAATCAAAAACTAGTTGAGGTATCAGCTTTATCATTACTTCAGAACACTTTCTTGGATCAAAAGATTTTTCCAAGGAGAAAATGAAAGTGTACAAAAATAGGTATTCCTTTTTCAAAATCTCTTTTGCATTTCAGAGTGTTCTAATTTTAAGAATATTTAAACAATGGATATCTAGGCATTTTCTTTCATGCATGAAACAAAGTGCTTTAAAAACTTTACCTAAATGTACCTCAAAGGTAACTGGGAATAGGTATGTATTATTATATTCTCTTTCCAGTGTAATAAAACACTTTACAGTCTAATAATAATATTAATCTTACAGTTTAATAAAGTGAGACAGAAACAGAAAAAGAAAACTAAGTCCTATCCATGGATCAAATCAACTACAGAATCACAGAATAGTTGAGTTTGGAAGGGACCTCTAGAGATCATCTAGTCCAACCCCCTGCTCCAGCAGGGACACCCAGAGCACGTGGCACAGGGTGGCATCCAGGCGGGTTTGGAAGATCTCCAGAGAAGGAGACTCCACAGCCTCTCTGGGCAGCCTGTTCCAGGGCTCTGTCACCCTCACAGAAAAGAAGTTCTTCCTCATATGGAGATTAAAATTCCTATGTTTCAGCTTACACCCGTTAGCCCTCGTCCTATCACTGGCCACCACTGAGACTAGTCCTAACTTCAGTAAGAAGCAGTGGGAAAAAGCAAAATGTAAGTGAATTAGAAATGAAATATATATTTATTTATATTTCATATGGTATATAAAGAGATATTTAGAAATTTTTTATTAATGTACAATTAAAATCAATTGCTACCATGTCTAGAAATCAAATACATGAATCTTAGATATGTTCAGACCACAGTACACCTTCTCCTCTTCACAAAGCTTTGAAATGACCAGATATAGAACTGAGACTAGTACTGGACGAATATTTCCCCTTACAAGTGTTCTTTCACAGAAAAATAAAATTTTTAACAATTGATATTCCCTTTTCTTAGACTTTTATTTTATTATTCTAGAGGACAGGGTTTCTAGTTATGCTACTTTGAACTTAGTATCTTATGTTCAGGGATTCCCTTGACATAATCGTGATACCATATCTCTTGGTATCATCAGAAGATATCCCTACTCTTTTGGAGATGTGATGGGAAATATATTTCAGACAGAGAACTTGATTTACAAAAGCGGTAAAATTTTTAACAGAACTCTACAGACAATTTCAAAATCAGAATATTTTTCTGCCTGAATATCTTGATTGTTGCTTGAAATCAAACTTGACTTTTTTCACTGTGATTATTTAGCAACTTTAAATGGAAAAGACAATGGACTTTTATAAAACCTATTCCTACTTTCATATGAGAATAATCTCTGCCTACTTTGTGGAACTGATATATATCAGTATTTATACATACATATATATATATACTGATATATATATATATTATTTTATATTCTTCCACAAGTTGTATATATTGCCCACTTCAGCTGACAAATGATTTGGGATCACTGCACATCCAGCCCTCTAGCAACTGCTACCAATAGTTCATCCATTCATGTGACTAGGGAATACAGCAAGAATTCTCCCTGAGATGTTTTTCCACATGAAATGATAGAGAAATGAAATATTAAAAAGATGTAAAGGTTACATATGTTAACGTATCATGTTCAGGAACCACAAAATATTCCTCAAATGTTTAATATACTTTGGTATTGCAAACCACTATATCTTATTTCCTCCTGGGATTGAAAACTATGAAAATGTTCCAGTTTCAATAACAAGGTCCAAAGTCCTACAGTAGCAGTTAAATCTGAAATGTTTGTAGGTGATTAAAACAGGAACATTTCTGCAGTTTCAAATTCTGAACTATTTGAGATTGAAAATCATGCAAAAATTATTGAAAAATGGAGCATAGGACTAACTGGTGAAAACCCTAATAACTCAATAGGAGCAAGCATTTTCATCACTGAGAATCATCACATACAGAGGCTAAAGACAGAGCAGGAGAGAGCAGGAATATTATAAGGACACTGTCAGGTTTGGATTCTACATTGCTTATTGCAGCAAGGGGAAAAGTAGAGAAAAAAAACCAAAACACTTACTGTTTTTTCTTTCACTGCTTCTACAAGGTCAGTTCTTGGGAGGGATGAAGTCTGAGCAGGAATTTCTTCTTCCCGAGCTTTTTCAGCTTTTGAAACCATTTGTGGAATTCCAATGGCTGAATCCTCTTTTTTATCATCCTCTTGTTTCTTAGCTTTCAGTTCCTTAGGAGGTGCTTTAACTTCTGCTTTCTGTTTAGAAACTTGGTCTTTACCCTCAGCTGTAATTTGCTCTTTTTTGTCCTCTGGATGTGATGCTTTCTTTTCCAGGAGCAGAGATTTTTTATCTTCTTCCAAGGTGCTTACAGGTTTCTTTTGTTCTGAACTTACTATTGTAGGAACTTTATCTGCTGAAGGTGTCTTTGACAGTTTTGCCTGCTGAAGTTTTGGTTCTTCTTTCTGGAGTTCATGCTGGATTTTGTCAACTGAAGCAGTCTTCACTATTTTCTCCTCCTGAAGTCTTGTGTCTTCTTTCGGAATTCCATGTTGAATTTTATCAGCTGAAACTGCCTTTAACAATTTCACCTGCTGCACATTTTCCTTTTGATCTGCAGCTTGGATTTTGTCAGCTGACAGTGTCTTTGATATTCTCATTTGTTGAAGTTTTGGGTCTTCTTTCTGACCTCCATGTAAAATTTTGTCAGCTGAGGGTATCTTTGTCAATTTTGCCTCTTGAAATTTTATGTCTTCCTTCTGAAGTCCTTGCAAAATTTTATCAGCTGAAGATGTCTTTGCCATTTTTGCCTCTTGAAATTTTATGTCTTCCTTCTGAACCCCATGCAAAATTTTATCATATGAGGGTGTCTTTGAAAGTTTTGCTTGCTGGAGTCTTGGGTCTTCCTTCTGAGAGACGCGCTGGAGTTTATCAGCTGAAGGTGTCTTGGCAAGTTTGCTCTGCTTAACTTTTGCATCTTCTTTTTGAATTCCTTGTTGGATTTTATCAGCTGACGATGTTTTTTCCAATCTCCCCTGTTGATGTTTTGGAACATCCTTCTGAATGCCTGGTTCCTCTCTTAATTTTTCAGCTGTTTGAGTGGATGGTGTGGAAGTCTTCTGAGGGGAATGTGAGGCAGTAGGCACAGGCTGTTTCTGCGGAGGAACCGGTGGCTTGGATACTGGTTGTGAAGGGACAGTTTTCGGAAGTGGCACCTTGCCCATGTCCCCAAGTTGTCCTGACATTGCTCTTTGGGTCTGGCAGTTTAAGCACAGCCATTCCTGCACCTATAACATAATAAGCATATGAAGTTACTAACTGAATGTTTAACAGAAAAATTATATTGTGTTTTCATCTCTTTTAATGATAGTTGTCATTAAAAGGCTTTTAATTTCAATGCTAAGCATATTGAAATATTATTCCTTGGTTTATTTTGTTGCTTTTGCAGGAAGAGCTACAAGACCTTCTAAAACAAATTAAGTGTGCCAGGTTAGAGAAGGCAAAGCTGAACAAGTGCAAAAATAGCTGAGAAAAAAACATAATTATGTCACACCAAAAAATTGATCTTTTTGTATGAAGTTTACCTTTCTAACATCTATAATTTTGTAAATTATCTTTCTAACATCTATCATTTTGTAAAGCCTCCATCATCTGCCAATAGCTCCCTCTAATTTTGGAAGTCTGAGAAAAACGGGACAGATTAGGACTCATGGCTGTTTGTATTTCTCTTTAGAAATTATTCTTCTCACCAAAATTTTCATTCCTTTTTTTATTTTTTTTCTGGGTTATACATCAGTATATAAATTTCCTCTGGCTCTAGCCCAAAAGGAAGAACATTTGTTTCTTCTTCTTTCCTGCTCAATCCTGTATGCACATTGGCTGCTTTTTCAGTTCTTCCCTGAAAATGAGAAAAAAAAAAGGACAACTGCATACATCTGTCCAAAAGATCTTGTGGGTTATTGCCTGTCTACTACCTGAGAGGGAAAATCAGGCTGTTTACAGTAGAATTTTGGATACAGTCGCAGTAAATCCTAATATACAGAAAGGTAATAAAAACCAAAAACAAAACAGGGCCCATCAGTTTACAGATTGTATTTCTAGGACTTAGAGAATTTTGTAACCTAATAAAATTATATGAAAAACAGAGAAAAAAAGGTTCCAGTAGTAATTATATATTGCTGATAATATATGATAGTAGAAGTGACTGTTCAGTTTTATATCATTGGATATTCCAGAATCTAGCCCAAAAATGTGCCACTGAGTTGGAAGAGGGTGTATTTGGGAGAGGATCTAATCCCAAAACCATTCATGCATTTTATAGTTAAAGAGTCACTGAGTAAAAAACGAGACAATACTAAAAGCAGAGCCTGGAACTCCAGACCTTCCCTTTGTCAGAAAAGGATGCTCAAATGCCAGGGGTGTAGGTAGCAGAATCCCTGCTCTCCTTCTACTAAAACCAACCAACCAACCAAAAAAACCTAGTATTAGTAATTAAAACAAATAAATATATAAAGGATTTAGCAATTTTGTCCCAATAAATGGAGTTTACATACTGAATAAGCTTTATCTAAACAAACTCTAATAATCTACTCTGTGTCATTCCAAACAGAAAGGTGATCTATATCAGACTTTCAGGTCTATGTTTAGTTTTGGTTATACTATGGAAAAAACCATGACAATACAATCCCCAAAAGGCAATGAGTCTCCTCCATAGGATCTGCAATGTTACCACAACCCAATGCTACCTGCATGAGAAGCACCAATTAAGGGAAAAGAGGTAGCTTTATTTCTGAATAATATGTAAAACATAGCTTAGTTTTCTTGGAAAATATTTCTGATAGAGGACTTTTTTTTTCCTGGATTTTTTTTTTTTACCATAATCTCTTTCCTCTTTTGGGGCAGCATAATTTTTCCAGTTTATAAATTAGAGAGATATAGCAGAAAACATAATTATGTCGTGAATTGACTTTTATAATATCTGATAAGTAGTGCAGCTGGAAATGAATTTGGCCATAAACCCATGGAAAATCACCATGTTAATAACATCAGGAGTTTGTAAGTGACTAAGTATACTAGATAATGTTTAGTAAAAATAGGCTATTTAAAGAAGAGCATATTGCACAGAATCTTCTTCTATTTTTTTGTAAAACTGAAAAAAATTGTTCCACAAAAATTACTAGGTAATTATGATAGATCAATTTTATATTAAAGGCAATTTTCATATTAAAGAAGGCCAAAAAGCTTTTAAACCCAAGAAAAGTGGGTCTATCTGCTCCCTCAACCAGTCTGACAAATACTTTATTTCATGAAGATGAATAGAAGTATTACCACTACTATTTGTGGCAGAAACTATTACAGTTTTTACTAGCCATGGGCATGGCAATAAGGTAATAGTCACATATTATCAAGCATGAGAATCTAGCCTTAGCCATCTAAGTGGTTTCTACCATGAAATAATGTTCAAGAGTTTTTTGATTTTTACATGCATGCTACATGCATGATCATGTTACTTAACATTAAATGCATATGCTATTTTTATAGTGACATTTGTGCAGGATGTAATTTACATTTACTTAAAGCAATATTTCCATTTTCTAGGAATTATTATAGCTTTTTATACATCCACATTTGTGACAACACTTCTCTTCCTACCTCTGCTGGTTATGTAGATCCCACTTAGCACTTCTTCAACTCCAGCCTCAAACACTTACCCCCTCTCAGAGTCATCAAGTCACTTTTCTCCGAACATTTAAACCCTTCACAAGGATTAGGTTTTCTGAATTGCCTATAACATTTTTCTAACTTTATTAATAGTAAGGAAGTGTTTAAAAGACTAAACAAACAATGAGCTTGTCTTTACTTCCTCTCAACTTCCTTGCTACCCCTATTTAGTATCTTTGCTTAAAGATCCCCAACTCATGGGCTGTTTTTTTGTGCTGATAGAAACACTCTCATAAAAGAAAAATACTAATAATTAAAATGAGCAAAGGCAGATGACGATGAGCTAATTAGCAAACTGAGCTAAATCTTGACAAGAGATGAAAGTCCCAGCCCTGCCTGCCATAAGAATGCAGTGATTCTACTGAAATGACCTGGAATTGTCCAGATATGTGGTGATTTAGTGATCCTTGCCATTGAACTGTTGGACATTGTTTACATTTGCATCTATTTACTACTTTGCATTTTAGCATTGCTAAATAGGTGTGGCAAATATTTCTGCAAAATTATGCATTTGAAAATACAATATATGTTTATAACCATGTGCATATTTGATCAGAAAAGAATCTATAAAAATCTTATATCATCGGCCCTTAGCTACTAATTCCCTGTCAGAATGGCTCTCCATAAAATCAATCTGTGTATTATGTAGTCATATGCCTGAGTTTTAGTCTTGTCTTTTCCTCAGTTAACCTCATGCCCTGAATACAAGATTTCCCTAGGGCTACCTTTTCAGTTAGCTTGTCTACCCAAATTTATTAGGACTTGGGAAATGGGCATCATCTTCCTCAACAGTCTTCATTAGATAAGCCTTAGTCCTTTAGAGGAAATCCTCACACACTTTGGTTCCTGAATTTGTGGAAGAGATTATTGGTATCACAAGTGATACTACTATGTTTTAACGTGCTGAATCCATAGCTCTAGTGCTGTGTTTTCAGCAGTTCTGACTGAACAAACTGCTGGACAGTAGCCCTGTCACAATGTTCTCCTCTGTCAGTTTTATAAGAAACAAATGTCACCATGAAAAAGAACAGAAACCCAACAGTCCTTGCTACTTTTTTCCAAATGTCATACAAGAGCTTAAGTGTCTTGAGTTTGTGTGCTTTTCTATTCATACATTGCAATGTTGGAAAATAATAGGTGACATCTTTCAGACAATCAAGGATTTTTCATTGCAGTAGGCTGATTGATTCATCTTCCACTCCTGGCGAACACTTGTTTGTAAACTAGAATTTTTCTCTATCTGAAAGTAACTCAGAGGAGTAGTTGACTCTGAGTTGACATGTGAAAGTGAAACTAAATATTTCTCCACAAAAATCATCTCTAAATTTGCATCAGAATGCAAATACTTGCAGTTTAACCTAGAGAGCAGTCACCTAATTTCTTTGTCATGGTTGGTGACAAAGCCTAACTCTTCCTAATTCTCCCTCTCCACTTCTCCTACTTCCATTAAAACATCAGTAGTATATAACTAGTATAGAAATGAAAAAAAAAAATCTCTGGGAAATCATTTTTGTCTCATTTGATGAAATACAACAAGGGCACTGCAAAAACAAATACTTCTTATCAAATTCCACAAAGTAATTATAAGGAAATAAAAAGAAAAACAATTATTTTCTATTAATTGTCTTGCACTAGGAGCACAGACAGCCACTAAAATATTTTTTCTTTACAACCAAATTGGTCATATTTTTCTTTCTTTTTTATTATGCATAGGCTTGAGTATGTTTCTTAAAAAGCACAGGGAAACAGTTATTTAAACATAAAACATTTCTGGCATAAGTATTAATACAGCCTAATTATTCTAAGTTGACTCCAAGACAATTTTACTCTGTATACTTTTAATTGCATTTATTTTTATTTTCACAAACATACACAGCAGATTTCTGAGACCTTATATGAATAAACCATTCTTGAAAGAACAGAAAGAGTAAACTAAGAGATAAAGAGAAGTGGAAAACACTGTGCTGAGCACTGAAAACTACAGCTTTAAGATCAAAAATAG